AGACCTGGTACCGCACGGAAGTACATAATTGTCGACAACTCCGAGTGTAGAGTCTCCAACCTTCAGAGGAGTGGGTGCAACACCTTATGCCTTTACTTACTTACAAAAAAAAAAAATCTATGAAAGTACTCGGTGGTTACAAGCAGCGTGTCCACTCCACGCACGATGCGATGTAGAGCTAGTGCACTGAAGTGAGAAAGCAGGCATGTGAATCTCCTACACCGTAGGGTGTAGGATAGGAAAACCAAAACCATAGGCTGACTTTAACAGATGTGTAAAGTACTTAAAAGCTACCATCGTTTTCTTGGACATATTTTTTTTACGGCTTTTCAATCTAAAAAAAACTTTGTGTCTTTCGGCAAAAACACATACATAATAGGTAGTAGCACATACCAGTATCGATATTATTTTTTATTGGGTGCTTATTATTTTGTTGAGTGGTTAAAAATAGAAAAGATATGCGACATTCAAACATAAACTACAAAGAACCACATCTTTCTTTGAAGTCGTTTAAAAAGGAATGATAAAGAAGATGAAGGGCTGTAAAACCAAGAGGGATTTTCCACTCTACCATGATCCTTGAAGAGGTGACTCGTTTTTTTTTATTTATTTTATTTTATTTTTAATCCTGAGGTGCCACAGACCCCACCTACAGTTACACAGCTTACACAGTAGCACTTATGTATGCTAAAAATATTTATAAGAATTAAGTAGGTTTTTATCTACAAGGAGAAAGTTCTTGGCGCATCTCACCTGATGGAAAGTGATGATCAGGCTGGAAGGTGGAATATGTCTCCTCACCACGATAATAGTTAATGAATTAATTTCTTCAGTCCTTATCGAATTTTAAGACATTCTCAAAGAAACCGTGTCGATGAGAGATAGCTTCTTCCGGGAAAATAAGTAAGAAGGAAACTCACAGAAATAAAATGCCTTTTTATCGCAGTTTTATTTAATTAAATAATATCAGTGTAAATTATTTTTCATTTTGTTAAATGTTTTACGGCGCTTTACGTAAGCTAAACTACGTAAGTATGAAATTTTATATCGACCTAAATAAACAATATACTTAGGTAATCTGAAATTTAAATTTTAAAAGCAGACCAACATTTTTTTGTATATTTCCATCATAAGTGCCGTAAAACACAAAGAATAATTAAATTGTTTACCAAAATAACTTTCAGCAATTTAAATTAATTGCTCGCACTAAACATAGTGGCAACTGGAACTGTCTCTTTGGCACCCAACGTGGGGCCGCGTCATACAGGCAGGAGGCACACTACACTAACAATGTGGGTTGGGTGGAGTCGCTCAGTCGGAAACTATTAATAATATCACCTGTCGTACCTTTATTGAGCCTCGAACCTCATGGTTTCTCCTCTACAACGCTCCAAAAATATCGATTCACGACGAATCCAGCATGTCGACCGCCCTCTAGGGCAGACGGCTCCTCTCGATCTATGTACACAAATAGGACACAACACGTCAAGCGAGATATCAAAACCGTTTCCCGCCACTAGTATTTCAACACTTGTACTTCCATTGTATGAAAAATTCGTCACGGCAATCTAGCATATTCAACTGGACACTGTAGAATTATTTTAATTTTAGTATTTTAACGCAGATATGACTGAAAAACAGACTAAAAGTTTCATAATGCCGTTGAGTATTGAGCCGAACAGCGCGCCGGCCTCCCGCGCTTGCTCGCACGACCCGACTGACTGAATTTCCCACATTTCCCGGCGGCGGGCGCAAGCCTTCACCCCTTGTAATCGAGCACGTTCGCGAAGATATAACAGTAAAAATCTAGATGGACGTTCTGCATTCCAGTTCAAGATTCAATAGACGTAATGTTCCAAAAGACAGGATGTTGAAGTTGTCGAATTTAGTGCCTACCCTCATAAAGAACGCTTTAGAATTCAAAGATTTTTATGTATTCCTTTCTAAAAATTAATTTTATATGATTAAGAAACTTTAAAAGTTGTTTTAATTTATCAGAAGCTGAAGCTGCAGTCAGGACCGAAATATTTTAAGTTTAAAATTAGCTCAACATTATTTGATATAATCATACTTCCTTTCAATACTTACTCACAAAATGTTCCTAATTTAATTTAATTTATGATGTAGGTACTGAATTGAATGTATGGTGTATCTGCACTGTTTAATTTAATAAGAAAATTACTTAATTTTCTTCCTGGTTCAAAATCTTAAAAATTCAATATTTTAATTTATATTTCTACAAGGTTTAAAATCCGTCAAGGTGTGTATCCGAATACAGTTTTTAAGTTACGTCATTCGTTACACTGACAGTGACATGTCCCTTGTCAAAATTGACAAAGAAGAATGATGCGCTTCTTGTGTATTTTTGTGATCAACAAACAATATCGTATTTAATTTTGTTTTAAAGTAACAGTGTTCCTAAAATAACGCAATTATCAATTATATTTTTACTGATGGCGCAAACAGAAGATACTGAACTCAGAGATTTAGTGGTTGAATCGCTAGAAAAAAATGGTTCGCTGGCGAAAATTCGTGCATTACTGCGGGCTAATATATTCTTAGCATTCGAGGATGATTATGAGAACATAAAGCAGAATTTAGCATTGGACAATATATTAAAACTACCAGAAGGTATCCTATCACTGTCTATTGTTTACGAATTTTTGGAATTTTGTAACCTAAAAAACACGCTATTTGTTTACAAATCTGAATCACGTAATGAAAAAGAGTATCAATATGAAGGGCAAAAAAGTATACTGGATAAGCTGAATCTAAGACGAGATAGCAATAAAGAGCCTATACTAGTATCCTTACTTAAAGTTATTTCAAAGACAAGTCAAAGGCACTATAATGCTGACAGAAAGAACCTGTATACCCATGGAAAACCTGATAACGATTTAAATAAAGACGATCAAAACTGTACTTACATAGTTCATGAAGACTCAAGCAGTACAAGTAATTCACATTCTGACAACTCATCCGATGAAAAAACTAAACTACACCTTCGACTTCCATTAGACAACTCTGATACAGATACATCAAGTGATTCAACAAGAGACAAATCTAGCTCAGAATACATACCCAATGAACATATAGTTGTAGCGGCTGACAAAAAGAGTGTACCAAACCAAGCAATAGATAATGTCGCATCTGAGAACCTTAAGAATATTACTGTTCATAGCAATAAAAGCAATCTTCCATATTTTTTAAGCGAGTTGAAAATTGTTACCAGCAGTAGTAGTGATTCTACATCATATGTAGAACTGAAACCATTCAATTTGTCTGATGAAAAATTATTAAATACAACTGGTATTCCAATGGCACCTGATGAAAAAAGTATTTATACAAGCCCTCCTCGAACTCAAGATAATATGGCAAGCAGTGAAAATATAAAAAACAGTCAAGATCACAAAAAAGATGCCTCTCCTACAATAAATAGCATGGCATCTCTGCTTTTAAATCAAAATGACTCAAACAAAGAAAACGATTCAGATAAAAAGTCTGAAAAAATGAGTAAATCTGATAGTGAAACGGCCGAATACAGTTACGATTTTACTTTGTCTGGTGCATCAAGAAAAGATATGGGTGATGTCCAAGTTCCTTCGTCTCAATACGTCCAAAATAATGTAACTAGTGAAAATGGAAACAAAAATGTACCAATACTTGACAGTCCTCATGAACGATCACAAAGTTCACAAAGCTCCATCTCCATTTCAGATGTTGCTGACTTGATTAGTGAAAAGAGTTTTTCTGTTGCTCATTCAAATAATGAAAATGATAATCTTAAGTCCAAAAGTCAAAATTCTAACAAATCACCAAGGAGCAACAAATCACCACACAATGATTCTGGTGATTTCTCCGAGTCACCAGTTCCATCACTGTCAAACTTGAGCCTGGATATTCATAGTGACTAATATTATTAATAAGTTGTAATTAACGCATTTGTCCATATTTTTATATGGAGCCTGTTTTTTTTGCAGGCAAACTTAGCACAGATTTAGACCAATTATAGTCTCAATTATTACAACTCAGACGCAATACAATTAACTTTTATATTTATCCTTTTCATAATTTTATAATGACTGAGTTGGACCTATTATAGACTAATTGATAATTTAAAAGAATACCTCTATTTTTGTAATATTACTGTATGTTAATTAAATACTGCTGCTAATACAGCACTTAATTAATTTAATTATTAATTTGCTTCAATTTAGTGATTGGGTCAAACATGAGGATATTTTGTGACAAACATTATTGTATATTACAGATGGAGTCTTACATACTATTTTATACATATTCATTTACAAGTTCATTTACCAGTCTATATGGTATAAATACTATGTAAGAGTTCAGAAACGCCAATATTCTACAAAGTATATTGCTATATTATATTGCTATGTAAACTTTTCAAAAACTGAATGTTACATTACCTAATTGCTTGTTTCTAAAAAGAAAATGTAACTATCCTATGTTTGAAATCAGATTTAAAAATTGTCCTAATATTATGAGATAGGTTTTAATTTTTAAATCATCATACAGTTTACAGAAAACATTTTGTTGTCAAAGTGGTTGTGCCTTAATAATAGCTGATTTCTAATTTTGTCAAAGGTTCCTTGAGGATTTCAGTAACATAATAATCTAGTCCTAAAATATAACTAGTTCCGTCCAAATTGCTCCGTTACATTAACTTCTGGTGTTTGGTCATGAAATTACGGCTTAGTATATTTTTTATTCAATAAAGCTATTGCATTTTATCTTTTTTTTTATTTTCCCCTATGTTGACATTATCATCTGCTGTATCTGCAAATGTTTGCAGGGTACGGTCCATATCGAATAAGCTGCGACGTACGTCTGTCGTTCGTTGTTCTTCTGGATATTTCATATGAGTATACACTTGCACGAAGTTTAACGTTATTATTGTGGGATTCGAACCGGTTGAGACGGTCCAACTTGAACCACTAGACCTGTGAGATGGTATGAATAAATAAAGGACACAGTGGATTTTATAATCAATGTTTATTTCACATTTTCAGTAAAGCATAGATTGTAGATATCACGTTTCAGTTATGCACACAAGTCAATCCATACCGAACACTGTAACGAAATTGTTACGCATTTCTATACAAAAGTAACGCTATACTGTTCATGGCATAATAGCAGTTAGTGTATTCGCATAGAAAAAAATTATATTAAACATATTTTATTTACACCTAAACATATTTATTAGGTACATGAGTTTTAATATGAAAATGGTATAAAAATTACACTTTCATATATTACTTTAAATACATGTCATAGTAATACAAATGCGGTCCATATCCTAACTTTGAAAAAATATAACAATAGTAAAAGCCACAATGCTTCATATAAACAGTAACAGTCCTACTTTGTTAGAATTATTATTTCGTAAAAAATGGAAAATTATCGCTCCAGGCACTGTCAATTATTTCTGCACGAATACGTGTAGATTTTTAACTCGACGTTAAAAAATTACAATAATTTTGCAACATAAATGAACAGAAAGGCCACTTGCTCCTACATAATAATATTTGCGTATTACACAAATACTGTAGAGCAACATTCTTTCGACAAAAAACAAATAATTAAATAATCCGATTGATTTAGCGATAGAAAGTAACTAAAAATTAACACAATTCGAAATTCAAGTAACACTTAGAGTAAATAAATATAAATAATGTACATATGGCAAATATTTGGCTTTGTATAAAGTATAGATCACACGCGAAGGAACGTGTAAATGCATAGTCCATATAAAAATTAGATGAGATGGTGTAGCTAGCTAGTGCTTTATAAGGCGCAAGTTAATTCTTATCTTAGCGAAACTATTGTCATAAGAGCGCCTAGATATTGTATATCCGAGGTAGACGAACGATTGAAATATTTGCTTCGTATGCGATCAGTCATCCTCGACGTAGCTACAATGAGTCTTGGCCGACTATCTAATCTTATAACTCGTTGCCCATAGAGCTGTCGTGTGTGAGATTCGAGTCCATGCTAGCGTTGTCCGAGTCTTGACTTTGGTTACCGCTGTAGTTCGCAGCCTCTTGTAGCCGCATCAACATGTTCAACTGTAAAATGACAAAAAATAAATAAACACACTCTTGTAAACAAATAAAAGTAGCGACTGACTAAAATATTCGATTAAGTAACTCTTACCAATGGATCTTGGTTATTATTCGTGTTGGGGTCTTGATTTGACTCTTCAATGCCAATTTCTTCCACAGTAATTGTTCGCAGCGTCTGTAGAAAACGTAAATAATTAGAATGAAAGTTTGAAAGAAACCGATGATGCTATTTAACGTCTGATGACGTAAGGGGGTGATTATGGAAGAAATAAGGGAATCACAGTTTGGGACGCCATACAGCGTGGGGAGTAAAGGCCAAATCCTTCCATTTTCCTCTGGAAAATTAGAAAGGGTCATCCCCTGCAGTGATGACTTGATGATGATGTCTGCCCTGTAATCGCCCTTTAAATCGACAGGAAGAGTTGCTGTGGTGTCAGAATAGAAACTCTGACAAAACCATATGGCATAGTTACATTACAAAGCTTGTGTACTAACGTGCGAGTGGTTGGGTTCCCTCCACGGGTAGGACGACTTGACGTGATTCAGCGGGTCGAGCGCCGCGTGTCGCCGCCTCCCATACAAAGCCACGCCCTCTCGCACCGCTTCGGACGCGTACGGGACGATACTGTAGTTCCAGACGTCAGCGAACCATGCCTGGTGAGGAGAAAAGGATTAAGTAAGTATAATGTTAGGTCCGTATTGCAGAACGAAACTTAAAAATATTCGGTATTTTTTATATTAAGTCCCGTGGTAACCCTAACCCCTCATGGTAAGCTAAATATGCTTGTGTTACCAGTCGGTTCACCACAATAGTCCAGTGGCAGGGTTGGAATCTCTCGGATCGGATCTCGGTTCAGTTAGTCCAATGTCGAAACCATTGCATTGTCGCCTCTAATTTTAAGCTAAATAAGAAACATCTAGGAAGGAATTGTCTGGCCGGCTGATATTCCAACACTATTAGCACTGGCCGCCTACAGTATTCTTTAATTTCGGAATTGAATCTTACCTGACTAGCCTCCAAGTCCATAGGGCAAGCGAGGAAAAGCCGCGGGCCGACGGTGACGTCACTGGACGAGTGAGCTTCTAGGAACGCGTTGAGCGTGGCCCAAACACCCGGCAGCCATTCTAATACCGCTGCTAGCGCCGGCTCGCGTCGCCCCAGCCTTAGCTCGAGGGAGAACAGCTTGCGGCGTAGGTACCTGAGAATAAGGTTGATAATGTAATAAAATAATCAGCGCCTTCAAAGATAATTTGAGATAGAGAAATGGCAATGCCAGATTTTGTACGGAAGGTGGCGTCTTTTTTTTTTCGCGCGGCCATCGACCAAACTTTGTTTTTTGATTACAAAACAGTGTAATGAACCAAACTTACTATGGCATGTATACCTCTAAACTCAGTCTGAACTGAGTTACGAGCATTAGAAGTTTAATGATTTTCATACTAGATTTGCTTTTTGCGCGCAAGTTTTCCAAGAAATTGTAACAAAATATTGCGTTATTTTTTTATTTGCTCTGATTCTGCTGCATACTGATGTCTGGAGCCTTTAATGGATGGTATTGTTTGTTTACACATACAATGTCATTATTTTGTTGCAATTTCTTACAAAACTTGCGCGCAAACAGCAAATCTAGTATGAAAATCATCAAACTTCTGATGCTCGTAACTCAGTTCAGACTGAGTTTAGAGGTATACATGTCATAGTAAGTTTGGTTTATTACACTATTTTGTAATCAAAAAACAAGGTTTAGTCGATGGCCGCGCGAAAAAAAAAGACGCCAATTTCCGGCATTGTCTTTTGCGTTATCCGCGGTCTTATACAGTGTGAGTCACGATAAAAATAGGTCTAGTTTCATATATTTTCATATGTACACTTTAACGTGACTCACACTGTATAAACAGAAGCACAATACCAAGTAGTAATTATGACAATGACCTCGATAAATATAGTAGGAAGGCACTGGATGCAGGCCGCGATGTAGAAGTCATTGGGGGAGGCCTATATTCAACAGTGGACTTCCTGTGGCTCAAATGAAGAGGATGATGAACCATAACAATTTTCTTACCTAGCTAAAAAGCCCTTGACTGGTTCCATGTGGTTGGCGGTGAGAAGCCACCTGAAGTTATGGTGGAGCTGGAGGTTGGTGGTGTTGCAGGTAGCTTGCGACATTGTTCCTGTTAAACAAAAATTAAGTAGAAAGACTTATAAATGTTAAAAAATTGCATGGATGGGCGATTCATAGACATTCTTATTGTTTTTTGTGCACTTAATGAAATTGTTCAAGTTCTTCTGCGGTCAAATTTAGGATTCTTCTTATACTCAGGTCGGGATGCAGCAGGCCGGCGTGTCCAACACTACAACCGAGCGTAAAGGCTTCATCGAGGCGAAACCTAGTTATGCCAACCAATAATAGATCTTAACTCACCGATAATAACAGGCATGTTTCTGTTGTCAGGCGGCAACAATCCAGCGAAGGCGTCTCCCAAAGCAGAAGCGTGTTGTAAGTTGTCCAACACAACCACAGATGGTAAAGGCGCTTCTTCACCCGCCGCGGCCGCGCCACTATGCTCCGCGATTTTAAAACTAGCTTACTCAAGTTCTGCCACGCAATAATACGACGTTAACTCACCGATAATAACAGGCATGTTTCTGTTGTCAGGCGGCAGTAGACCAGCGAACGCGTCTCCCAAAGCTGACGCGTGTTGTAAGTTGTCCAACACAACCACAGAAGGCAATGGCGCTTCTTCGCCCGCCGCGGCCGCGCCACTATGCTCCGCGATTTTAAAACTAGCTTACTCAAGTTCTGCCACGCAATAATACGACGTTAACTCACCGATAATAACAGGCATGTTTCTGTTGTCAGGTGGCGTGGCAGTAGACCAGCGAACGCATCTCCTAAAACAGACGCGTGTTGAAGGTTGTCCAACACTACAACCCGAGGGTAAAGGCGCCTCTTCACCCACCTTAACGACGCTGTACTACTCTGCGACTTTAAAACTAACTTACTGAAGCTAATCAACCAATAATATGCCTTAACTCACCGATAATAACAGGCATGTTTCTGTTGTCAGGCGGCAACAATCCAGCGAAGGCGTCCCCCAAGGCAGACGCATGTTGAAGGTTGTCCAACACAACCACAGAAGGCAATGGCGCTTCTTCACCCGCCGCTGCCGCGCTGCATTGCTCAGCAATATTAGCTAAGTACGCTCGCAACTCGTTGCAAGACTTGCGGTCGACGCTGGAAGATGATATTTTTATAGTGCAAATGGTATGCTAAAGTATTCATTCATGGTAATTGAATTGATTTAATTTATTACATCTAAGTTGCATACTGGCTTTATTGCTTTGGATTGTGTTTTTAATGTTACGCATTTTTGTGATGTCATTTTAAAACTTTGTGTCTTAATATAAAGCGTTGGATTCTTTTAAAGAGTTTAGGTAACGTATCGGTAATTCTTTGAGTGTTTCCGATATTGCGGATAAACGATTACTCAATAGACAAATACAGTGGCGGCGTAGCATGGGTTGGCACCCGGGGCGATCACCCCCCCCCCGTCATAAGTCCTAAGGCACCCACTGGTGCCCCCCAGGATTTTGAGGGTTACCTACCTATTCGAAGATTGAAAGACAATCGCACCCCCCTGTATCATGACATAGACCGCAGATTTGCCATGCAGATGTGAAAGTGAGTACTAAACTGTGCGACTTGTGTCACCCCCTGATGCTTGGCACCCGGGGCGGACCGCCCCCCCCTTACGGCGCTACTGGACAAATAGCCTCTTATTTATTGTATTAAATGCATTGGTGGGTTTGACCATAAAATTTAGAATGTTACCATTACCACTATAATTAAAACCAATCAACCAAAGTGCATTCACCCTTATTAAGAACAAATTGTTAACTCCATCGTACGTAGTATAGTCGCCAGCATATTTTGATGCAAAATCACACCTATTACACATACACGTTCTGTCCATGTTCATACCTAAAGACCCTAATTATCTAATTACTCACTTGAAAGTGGCGACGGCTTCTACCGGGTTGCCTCGCCGCTGCGTCCGCTGCACGTAGAACTCCGCCAGTTTGGCCGCGAGGTAAGACTTGCCGGTGCCGCTAGGCCCGCACAGAATCACCCTCCGGTGCTCCGATAGTAAAGACACGTATCTGCGAAAAGAACATAATTGTATGTTTATGTCAGCCGAAAATGCATGAATGAAAAAATGAGACCAACGCGCAAATCTTAGGCCGGATCTCCACTAGAGGTAGCCGCACGGCCGAGGCTATCTCTAGTGGATACGCGGCTTATGTAGTATGCTTTCTACAGAAGCTGTGATGTGTACCTAAGCAGTGTGCGTGAAAAAAAACCTAATAGGATCACTTTAAAATCCTAGCATCGTTCAGCACAGCCCTATTGTAAAAAGGCTAGTAGAGCGATGTCATTGTACAACATAAAAAAAACTAGAGATAAGTACGAGTGAGAAATGTGGTGATAGTTATTTTTGACACACGTTTTTCTGAAAATGCGTTAACATTTTTTCTGCATCAATATTAACACTTGTGATATTGAATTATTTTAATTGCACATGACTGTGCGTGAGCGCTTAATTGACTAAGCCGTCGATGAAATAAGTAATTTGTAAATATTTAATTCTGTGCTTATTGACGCGGAAATTATTACGCTTCTGCTCCTTATAAGCCGCAACTCGTTAACTTGACGCAGATAGGCGAATGCTTAACGCGCTATTTGCTAAGTGGCGTGGTTAACGACGGTAGACATTGTGCGATAGCTAAGGTGACGGATTTAGCGCGTTGAATAGTTTGTAAATATGCGTCAAAAAGGCGTGTACTTCAAGTTAAAAAAAAAAGAAAAAAAAACGACTTCGATATTAAACTTATAATCGATTCGATATACAACTCGTTTCTCGGCAGTTAACGACTAAAGGATTTTTTTATAAAGATAAGTTAATTAATTTTGATTTATATGTCCTCCGGATTTTAAAGTCTTGTTAGACGACGACACGGTAATTATTTCCCCAGTTTCATTAAACCCTTCTAATGGCATAACAGTATCACCATAACGAATGAGAAGCTAATGTAGGAAGTTACGTGTAAGCGTTTTTTCTAGAACCTTGAGTAAAACTTAGACGCATTCATTACGGCGGAGTTGTAGCATTATAAGTACAGGTTGAAAGCACCTCAGACTAAAAAAAAAATGTTTTAAAATAGCACTTATGTCAAGTACATAAAGATGCCTCAGAGTTTGGCTTAATGTGCCGTCTGTACATAGCACACTGCACCGTTAATTCAATTGGCGCCATTGCAACACCACAAACGTATAGGTTGTTTCGTATTGATGGTTTCAATTGATTTAGTGCTATTTTCAATTTTTTTGTTGGTCGTTCAATTACACTGCTTCACGGTTGCGGATTTGTTTGGACGTGTAGGAAATTATTGTAAAGGATACGTGTGTCGTATTTCGAAATGTTGTGATATGTGAAACTTTACTTGGTACCCAAGTGTTGTAAATAAATGAGTGTTTCTACACTAATAAATTAGACAAGTGTGTATGAAATAGAGTTAATAGCAACTTACCTATATACAATATTTTTTGGTATGAGGCTGTCGAAGGCCAAACTGCCGACTCCTTGCAGGCAAATATACAGCGTATTCACAGTGCCAATGATGTATCCACACGGCAGCAGCTCCGGAAAACCAATCTCCGGACCCCTCGTCGCCTCGCCCAAGTGATACGACGTAATCGAATCCGTATTCAAACCGAGATTCGTGCCCGGATCTATTCTCGATAGGTAATCCTTGAACGTCTTCCTAACTATATAATCTAAATTCTGCCACGTAGTCTTGCCCGATATGTACGTGTAAGCTATAGTGAATTCATTGCAGTTTATTGTCGAGTCACTATTGTACACGTTCTTATACGAGCTACTGTGCGTAGATTTATTGCTTTTAAGGCTATTCGTGTTGGACTTGTTTATTTGGGGGAAGTCTTGATTTTCGGTCTCTGGACTGTGGTTTTGCGACATCCTCGGGGAATCGAAGCTGGGTTGTTTATCGAAGTGGTTGTTGTAACCGCTCGCCGATTGTTTGGCGTAGAACCGGCATTCGGACTCGGTTAGTGTGTCTTGGACCTCTTCGAAATATCTTTGGAATGTTTCTGGCTGTCCTAAGTATACTGCTATAGCTATTTTCTTGCCGTCTGTTGTGTCTCCTTGACTGTCAGCGACACCTAAAAAAAAGACATGTTTATTTATCAAATCAATACCTAATTTTGCAGCCTAAATCTACTGGGATAACTTGGTTCTTATTGTCATAACCAAATCATTCTATTTCACTTCAGTTGCAGGGGACGTAAAGAATAACAAAATGAAAAGAAGTCAGTAACAGTGATGTTACTAAATTTGTAGGTGGCATAATTCCCACTGATATGGGAAATCAAAGAAGCCTCCTCTTCTCAATGTGTTAATTAATCAATAAAATGGCCATGGAGAATCCTGGCAAATATTATCATTATAACACTTACCTATATCAGAATAGCTCTCCCCAATCGCCAGTTCGCGGCTCTTAGGCGGAGGCAGTACAGCATTTATGTCGTAGTCCCCGCTTAATCTATCCGTGGCGTTAAGTCCATTGGTGAAGATATCACTAGACCCATTCAAAGCACCCAACAAAGCTTCGCTCTTCTCATTCAGTTCACAAACTGCTTTGTTCCCGTATATCGGTTCAACCATCGTGGAGTTGGGAGAACCTTTCTTGAAGTCCATTGTTGGAGTTGATGTTATGCAGTTGAAATCCAAGTCTAGGGGTTGGGAATGGATGTCTATGGCAGCCTGAAAGAACGGATTGATTTAAAAATGTTGCTTCTGCTATCTAAAGTTAGAATCCCTATAATAAGAGTTATATAAAGAGAGAGAGAGAGAGAGGAAAATCACTAAACTGTGATTTTTCAGTTTAGTTAATTGCTTGAATTTAATTACATAATATTGATTTCCGGAAATGAAATATAAGAGTTACAACCACTTATAAATACGTAAAAATTGCGTAAATTACAAAAAATAATTCTAGGTTCAGTAAAGTAAGAAACTTTGCCAACCGAATTGCATCTTTATTTTACCTGGTGCATAGTGGCCTGATCTGCAAGGCTAAACCGCCTCGGGTCTTCGACCGCAGAGCCACCCGTCCCCAACGAACTTTGACTACCCGCTAAAGATCTTGAAGTCACTAGCCGCTGCAGGCGTTCGTTGTTCTGCTTGAGATTCAACATTTCGTTCTGGAAAAAGACAATTTTGTTGCAAAATGGCACCTTATTATTACAACTACGTAAGATAGTTAAAGTTATCTTTGAACTGCTCCTATGTTCTTCTGATTAATTCCGTTGCGAGTCCAATGACAGTTTAACTTTCTCTGGGGACAAACTTGACCTTCACTGGTTGGGTTTTTATTAGCGGTCAAGCTGTATACAGGTGATCCTGGCTACACAGGAGTTGCAGCGGTGGGAAAGAGAGGTAGAAATAGTCTCGTAACTACGTAAGATGCTTCAGTTTATCTAGATGCGCCATCGTTCTATTGAAATGGTCTATTTGTAAGGCATCATGGCATGTAATTGTCTTGGCCTGTGATTGGAGTTATTAACCTATTGCATCATACATACTCCTTAGATAAATGAACAATGAATTAAGATGACGTTAGCGGCCGTGGGTAGGTAGGTAATTCTATGATCTTTAGTCTATTGATCATTCAATTTTCAACATTATGAAAATATTTATCGATAATGCCTTTGTTTATAAAGCTATACGCGATTGAAAAACGAAGAGTTGCCATTAATTTAATAAACAGTTGTATTTGTGTGTGTACATACCCTCATTTTGATGACTGTGTCTTTGAGACTCTCCAACTGATGCGCCGAACTCAGCGCTTCTAACCGTATATCTGTTAGCACCAAATCTTTCTCCCGTAGTTGTTTCTTCAACTCGTCGACTAAGCCAGCCTCATCTTTATCTGTACCAAAAATGATTACCCAATTAAGTAAATGATACAAATTCAGTGCAATTTCGTGACGAAACGGTTTGTTGTTACATTATTGCAACCTTAACATTGTTAGCAGTAACAAAGTCCTTATTAGCGATACATTTTTCTGGTTTATAACATAAACGAGGTTCCGGAGGGAAACAATGGCATTTGATTTTTAAGCTATAATGAGGTCAATAAAGCTGTGGTACAGGTGTCCAAAAATTATCCGGTCTTGTTCAGATACCTATTATAGTTTAAAATATTGCTTCCAGATAAATAATATCGTAGGAATTTAAACTAATAACTCATAGTATATTTTTATCTTGATAAATTCACTGTCTAAAATCGGTACACAACTTAAAACAATAGGGCGTGAACTAAATGTACCTAAGTACATAGTGCATGAACCGTTAACATTTGAATTGGCAGATTAATAATAGTTTAATCACGGCTGATGAATATGATAAATCACGGGTCAATTACTTTTCGTGGAAGTTATTATGTCGCTTTCCAGCGCCCTTTCACTGGGTCAGCTAAATTCCGCTAAGAGCCGGTGTAAACTCTGATGGGCATTGTTTGCTTGACTCGTAAATTGTTTCGACTCACCTTTGGTCTGCTCTTCGGGTTTCGCCGCTGGGCACGCTGGCGCCGCCTTGTCCTAGAAGAAAGCATGATTTAGTAAAACGTATATTTATAACGCAATAGTTATACGCAGTATAATAACGAATTATTTTTTCCGGATTTAAAAGGAAAACAGAACAGTGACGTAATACACTTGTAAAACCACACTTCAAGGGAATATTTTAAGTAGTCATGAAACTGGTTAATGGAGAATCAATTAAATAAAGTATGCGGGAGCAATTGCGTTAATAGATTTTTAATAGCATCGAACAATGTTCTGAGGATTGCGATGGTCATTCAATAGAACGTTATAGGTATTACGCAGTTTCTTTTTCTTAGAACGTTCAGTCTTCATTACATCAGACATATTTTTTTTTTGTTGTAAAATGGCACTTAAAATAACTATGTAAGATACTATAGTGTTAAACTTGATCTGTTGTTGATTAGATGAGAGGAATTTTTATAAATTAATTACAAAGATAGACTCAAAACAGGTCAGTAATCATCATTCCAAAACGACAGTTGTAGGGACTAAAAACAATTCGAGACCCACTATTTTTAGCAACAAAATGTAGGACCTGGAAATTAACATCCTGTCACCTGCTGGATGTAGAAACATGACATTGTTTTGAGTTGTATAAATTATTGTTTACTATGTTGATAAAGAGTATTATTGGTCTCTAGTTTCGTTGGAGAGATGACGAGCGATAGATAGGTACATCCTAAATTAGATTTAAAAATTAATAACGTCACCATTTTTCTAATGACTGATCAATCATTTATGGGTTCAATTATTATTGTTGAAAAGCGTTGTCATTAGTTTCAGAGAAGAATAAATAAAACTATCAATCTTGAAGTATTTTTGGTTGTTATCTATTATTTTAATGATTTAATTAATTGAAGATTTTACTGATTCTGACAGTAAATAGATACCAATTAGTAAGTTAGATATCTCAAGTGAATTACTTGTTCATTAATTTATTGCAACTCACATCTCCTTATTTTTTTCAGATGAATCTTTCATTAATTGAAGTTTTTTTAATTATTTTAATTGAACTAGATTTTTTCCTGTCAGTTAAGAACAATATTTACGAGGAAAAAATTAATGTGAATTATAAATAATTAGGTAAATGACAATACAACACTGGAGAAATAATATCACGACAGTAAACAAGAAATGCAATGTCAAATTAAAAATCAATTTTTCTATCCCGCACTAGTACATAATATCGTGGAATTGTTAACCTGATATAATTGCTTTCTATTTGAATTACAGTAATAATTACCTTTTTATACTTGTTTGATAAAGATACTATTTACTTAGAGAAGAATTACCGTTATTAGGTCATTCAAAATGAACCTTAGCGAACAACACCAAAATACAAAACAAATATTTGTAGGTACAAGTACTGAAATCATTGAGTGAAATGCGTAGAGTTGTAAAAGCAACCCCAAAATTTTGTTAACATCCTTAGTACATGAGACTTAAGGCGCGTGTGCACTGGTGGCTCTTGTCACCGTGACAGTATGTCTCTCCATAGATAGGATAGGTAAGAGTAAGTAAGTGTAAAAGAGAGAGATACACTGTCTCGGTGACAAAAGACGACCGTGCGCGCGCGCCTTTATGACATCTAATGCAAACTCACCTGCACTTTTTCAGCCAGCGCCTCGTGCGAATGCTCCAGGCTGTTTTCGTTGCTGCCCTCGCGTATTGTGTGCGGATCGTCGTAGTGGTGCGAGCCGGACGAGCTGTCTTGCGACGACAGTTGCCCGAGGGACGAGTGTTTCGCCGTCTTAGATATCTTGGCGTTCCGTGAGAACGCTTTCGTGAACGACGAGCGCAACTGTCGGGAATAAGCCGCCGGTTTTTAAATGGTTAAGTCTTGATACTATATAGATCGTGTCATCCACGAAGACGCGCCCCATCATTCTTCAGCTAATGTTTGAGTGTTATCGGTACACGCTAAATTATCCATGAGTGCACACGCAGACTACAATAAAGACACTCGGATTGCTCCCATCAAACTCCCCGCACCCCGCGCTCCCCTCAACCAAAAATTGGTGCGGCGCGTCTTCGTGGATGAAACGATCTATAACTACAAAATTTTGTATTTCTTTCCATTGACAGTTTGGTGTGGTATATAGAGTGTATGAAATGACTAACTTATACAGATTTCAGTACTGCTACAAATTGATTTTTACAGCCAGTTGTCCCGTTCTGATGTTAGACTACATGAGCCAAACAATTAAGTGAAAGTATAAAGCCTAATTTTTTTTCCTTTAACAGTTAGTTTCCTGAAGCAGTGGAAGGGTTAAAGTTAGATTTGATGATGTATTTAATTAACATAAGATCAAATTACTAATGAAAAAATAAGAAAATACTATAAATCATAACGTTTTTGACATTAAATTAATAAAAACGAGAAGAAAGTGTAATTTCACTTCTTTCTAACAGAAAAATATGTATTTTTCTAATTATATTAACTAATGATTGTCTATATCTCTACTTCTATTTGGTGTTGACTTAAAAAATATCATATATCTTTAAAATAAACTGAACATATTTTTTTATGTATTTTCTACTTTATTTAATATTTTTTTAGAATAGATCATTCCATTAATCAAATATTAGCTGTTAATGACAACTTGATAAACCGTAATGATCATATAATTGTATGCGCATATGTATAAGAATTAGTTTTTAATAATATTGCTGAATATTTTCTTCAGTTATAAAATCCAGTTATTAAATCAAATCGGTAATGTTCTCAAATTCCACAATAGTTCTAGTTACATTTAATTAAAATATAACGCTAGGCAATGATGAATTATATCTAATTATATGCATATTATCTTTAATTAACTGTATTATATTACCTACATTTAACGACGCACATGGATAGATTGATAGTCGCGCGTCATCTTGTGGGATATTTTATTATTTTGTGTATTAAAGACTTATTTATTATTTAGGAGAAGCCATGCGAGAGATTACCATTGTCCAATAGTAAAGTTACAGTTATTTTAACTGGCATAGCAACTAATACCACTTTGAAAATATGTAGGTATTCACTATGATTTCGAACTATGGCCTATTATGCTAAAAGCACGTAACTATGATTTGAATTCCATTTTAGCATGTTTATGCTAATTTACACCAACATATTATTATACAGTAATTTTCGAGATTCTTTTCTATATTAGATAAAAACGGCTCGTTTGAATATTAATAAGTTTAACGATCAAATGAATGGATAGGTGGAACTATGGTAAGGAAAGACTATTGACGATACTAAAGTATCGATCTATTCGACAAACAATCGGCCGACTAGAAATCTGTGTCTGAGGGAAATCTTTTTTATTATTGCATTATATTTTAAGAAAAATTGTTTGCTAATGGAGGGTTCCATGTAGCCTAAAGAAGGTTTACTCAACATACTTCTAAATAATAGTTGTAAAATATATTCCCTGATTGTCTGAATTCTCAATGTCAAGTCCTAATAATATTTTTTTCATAATTTTTAGGATGTATGAACATTCTGATTAAAATCATACAAAACTCACCCATCCCTTCTTCTTGTGCTTCTTATCGTGAGGTGCCGAGGAACCGCTGCTTAAGCTGTTGATGCTTGAAACGCTGTCCGTTGACAGGTGACGAGTGATAGCCCCATTGCCCGTGTGGATAGTACGTTGAGGAGACGACTGCTGCGTATGCGCATTTGGCTCCTGCTGTTTGGAACAAAAGGGTTTATTCAATAGGTATAATATTCAGACAACAGTAAGTTAAACAAGTGACATCTTATGCAGTTGTGATAAGTGTCATTTTGTACCAAAATGTATAGTCTGATGTGCTGTTGACTGCACACTCTACAGACATAACACTTTTTTTGCAAATTGTCTGTATTACAACGAGATAAGACGCACTGTGGTAAGATTGATGTACTGTCGTCCGTACATGGAATTAATATTATGTATCTCGATTTAGATTGTATGTTCAAAATTGGACATAAGTGATGTCATCATCTAACTAGCATCAACAACATGAGTAAAGAACAACTCTTGCAAATGTTTTTTTAGACCAAATGGAAGGTCGATTGTTCATTCATAAACATCATGTTCGAGTGATACTTATTTGTATTATGAATTTCTTTATTCAGGTTTTGTTTTAAAGGCCAATTTTACACTTTGTTTTACGTGATTGGTCCGCCCACATGCCGACTTTACGCATAATGAACATGGACATAAACTACGAACTACGTTAATTGCCGGCATACTTTTTATAGGTATTTTTTGTTTAGTTTAAGTGAATAGAATTGGATAAACAAACATTTCGTAATGATACGTATAATTACTACAAATTACATAATTGTAGAAAAATCAACAATATTTGTACGTTACCTGATTGTTGTGGTTTTAATTATGATTTATGGTCCATAACTTTAATAGGTTTGAATATTTATTAATATTTACCTCAAAGCCTCATAAACCCTGACCTTTCCTACATCGTACGACTTAGCATCATTTGGTTTTATCGAGTAGCGATATTAATAAAACCCAGCATTATCGATAACCGTTCGAGCCAACGTGTCGCGTAAATGCCAATGCACTGACATGTAAACGTAATGAATGCTCGTGCTAATTGAAACTAAAGACTCGTACTACGGTCATGCATATCGTGATTGACATGATGTCAGCAGTCGTAACAATCGTAACTAACGGCAACTTATTATTATTATTCTGTGCTAACGGCCCACCCACTGTGAACACGGTTGGAAAACTGAAAACTTGGTTCGCTTTCGTATGACGTATTCTTTCTACACAAACGTTGTTTTGTGTAGTATACAAGCCACCAGTGAATATGTATTTTTTATAAAAGTAATTAATATGAATTCAAACATTTCCTGCGTAGACGTAGACACTGTGCCAAGTTCATAAATGTCAAGTCAAGTCTCAAGATCTACACTGAATTGAGATTTTCGTTTTCATTATATCCAGTTGCTTCCATTTGGCACCTTGCAACTCAGTTGCTTCTGATGGTGTGCAATAAAAATGTCTACATTTGCGCAGTCCCTTAGTCTGAAGAAACGTTTGAGGTTCGCCCAAACCAACTCATCGGCCCCTGTGCGCGATAGCGATCGCAATCCTACTGATTTCTACTGATCGCTATAGCAACTTAGAGGTCGACGACTCGACGTCTCATAGGCCGATGTAGAACAGAACTGTTTGACGATCAATTTGATGCAAATGAGCGTTAGTTGCCTTGTTAGCTACTATTTATTGAACGGCACTATCTCAGTACATAATTGTGAATATCCGCAGCATAGCTTGAAAACTGCAGCCATTAAACAAAAAGCTAATGCACTTGAACTCATTACGTGTGCCGATGATGCCTTGCATAATGATTAATGGCTCTATTGGCCGACTTTGCGTTTTATCTCTTACAAGTGATAGCGTAGTTTCTATAGTTTGTAATTAAATTAGAAATTTAAGCTATCGCATAATAATATTATGTTTAATGATGAGTAATAACATTTACTTTAGATTCTAGCACACGTAAGTTAGGATTAAAATTGGAAAATCTAGCAGGTCAATAACAAGACATAATAGCTTTAACATCAGGTCACAGGATATGTTCGATTTCTAACACGATTTATTTTATGGAAAGTTTGTTTAACAACCTAATTAGTTCAGGTAGAATGACCACTGAAGCGTTGACAGGCGAATCACGGACGGTTTAACCTGTCAAATGACGTTGCTTTCATTAACACGAATGCCTAGTGAAATGCATTGGAGGGGTCATGCCATCTTAGACTGCTTACGGGACTATTCCTCCTTACGTTCCCACCGCTGCAACTCTTGTGTAGCTAGAATCTACAGCTTGACCGCTAATAAAAACCCAGCCAGTGAAGGTCTACTTTGTCCCGGGGAAAAGTTAACTGTCATTGGACCCGCAACGAAATTAATAAGAAGAACATAGGAGGGGATCGAAGAGCTTGCGTAACAGGTAAATCCTTTATTACTATTCCATGAACGCTGTCATCACTGCTCTCATTCATCTAACCAAAAAATTTCATAATCCCATTTAAGTTTCTTGTATTTAGGCTAAGTTCTTATTCAATAAATTTATCTTATCTATCTTATCTATTTATTCACAAACTGTCAACTAACCTGTCCTGTAACGTTGACTCCATCAGCGCGGATGCCCATGGACTGCATGTGAGCCGTGGTCAAGCCAGCTTGGATGGACTGCTTTCGAAGTAACTCGATCGTTTGACGCAGTTCCGTTAGCTCCGAGTCCTGAGTGAAGAAGTATTGAATTAGTACCAGCTGAAATTTCGCTTTTAAACTTTGTTTTATGCTTTAACCACATCAACTAGTACAGATCGCCATCGCCGGCGCGATCATAGGCCAATGACAGGTCGCGTGAACTGTCATGGGTCGCGTGAACTGTCATGGGACGCGCGACCTGTCATTGGCCTATGATCGCGGGAGATGGCGATCTGCACGCGTTGGTGTGGTTGAAGCTTTAGAAGGATATGTAATCTAACTTTTTCCAGTCTCTTCGGTTGAATGCACTCATTTAGTACTTAAAGGAGGAAGTAAAAAAAAACATGTTGGTTAATTTTTATATTTTCATTTGGTAACACGAATGGTGGTCAGCGAATGACGAGATTTTCGACCAATAAGGTTTTTACCTCCAAAATAATATGATCGTGATCATAACACTCCCAAACGAGTTAGTCATACGGAATAAGTGTTAATAATCCACAAATTCGCTTTTTACACAAATTCAAGGTTTCTTGCAATTGTAAGCGAAGTGAACAGATAAGCACGATGGATTTAATGTTACACTTTACGAGATAAGTAGTTCCGTGATAACCGTGTTCATTATCAATAGGAATATAAACGTATAGAAAGTTATACTCCCATAAAAGGTAATGGAGGTTTATTTATTTACTTAGTTTTAACCGTAATTTTCAACAGCTTATAAACGCACCTGCTTCGTGATTGGAAATGTAATCATTATTTATGGATAAAGTCTCACAAATTATGTAAGACTTTAAGGCCGATTTTTCCGTAGCTCACTTTATTTGAAGAATATAGTTGGGGAAGGCTTGGAATAATACGAGTTCCCCTTAGCGCCATAGCTGGGCACCGTTAATCAAATAGTTAACTTAGTTAATCGTTAAACCGTTAATAAAAAAATTAACTTCGTTAAACGTTAAAACGTTACATTTCGCAAGAGTTAACGCAAGTTAACGTTAATCGTTAATCCGTTAACACATAATAATAAAACGAAAAAAATAATATGTTCAAATAATTTCGAAAGCTTGTATCGCGCATGGAATTTATTCCTCTTTTATGTTTGCGCTACAAGCTTTCGAAATTATTTGAACCTTGCTTATGTATGTACAATTATTTTTTTCGTTTTAGTACAACTGCATTTCAGAATAAAAGCTTGTTAGGGTTCCGTAGCCAAATGGCAAAAAACGGAACCCTCATAGATTCGTCATGTCTGTCCGTCCGTATGTCACAGTCACAGCCATTTTTTTCCGAAACTATAAAAGTTATACCACAAGTTATACTGTTGAAGAAACTCGGTAGGTAGATGTATTCTGTGAACCGCATTAAAATTTTGATGCAAAAATAAAAAAAAATAAAAATATTGGTAGTCCAGTAGAATTAGCTTTTAAATCGGAAATAATTCCTACAAAAGATTTTATTGTTTTAATGGCTTCATTGGTTGCCCAATAAGACTCTCCTAAGTTTTCGACTTCGACGGAGTTGTGCTTAAGTGGTGGGGGCCCCCGAAAGGGGCGTTTTTTCGGTTTTCCGGTTATACCGCGTAAAGGACTTACCCTATCAAAAAGTGGTCTCCATGACGGTTGAGGGGCACTTAATCCTGCATTGAATAAGACCAAATTCATATGTTTTGGACAAACCGTTCTCGCGCTAAAGTTCGGCAAAGTAGAAAATATACGTATAATTAATGACCTCTCCANTTTTTACATTGTATTTAATTAAAATATAATCAATGGACTCAGATTTTACTATATATTTCAAGACAAGTAGTTTTTTTTTTATTATTACATTGCTAATAAAATACAAATATTTTTTCAAAAATACACTCAGCGGCACGGAATTTGGCCCAAGCCTAAACAACCAGATATGAGGCCAAATAGGTGTTGTATACCTAAGTTTCGTGTGACATGTTAACAGAACATTTTTTTTTGTTAATTTAAGAGGCTAGATTATTCATTTGCAAGAGTTGTCCCACACATACTAACAAGTGTCGTTAGTGATCTGGTTACAAAAACTGTTGTTTTGGGTTCTGGAAGTTCTGGAAGCCCGAACGTACTTGTCAGAACGCGTTTTTCTAGCGTTTTTCAGCGTGCCTGCTGTATCTTTTTGGTAAATAGTAGGTACTGGATTAACGATTAACGGACTTAGGATAATTTAACGGAAGTTAACGAGTCCGTTAACATTTTTTAAAGTTAACTTAAAAGTTAATCCGTTAATAGAAATGTTAACTTCGTTAATTAACGATTAACGGATTAACGAGTTAATGCCCAGCTATGCTTAGCGCCTATTTATAAATAGCAACAAGAACCTATCGTAGGTTGCCACTTAAAGCGTAATCAATTACTTTAGCTTGTTGATTTTTAAACAAAAAATAAATAAATAAAGTAATGTAATGAAGTTGGTTTTTCTGGACTAATAACATGAAGATAGGGCAAAAGAAAAAAAACCGTTTAAATTCTAATTACAAAACTGTCAAAATGTAAATATTATTTTACCGACAGTAGTTACGTATGCCCTAAGAAGTAAAATTGGAATTATTGGAAGATTATAGTGAAAAAATGTTAATTGCCAATAAAATCCAAATTAACGAAAAGCACTAATTAAATATAAAATTAGGTTTAGATATAAATAATTTTATATTCCGTGCTATTAAAACATAATTGTTTTTTAATTGATTTGAAGCAGCGTTCCGTATAAAAAGGCCCATTAAGTGGTTGGATAAGCTTTAACCTGGTGCTATAAAACGGGTTTACTACCTTTCTCTCGGCGGTGGCTGTTAGCTGCTGCAGCCGCTGCGTCATGTTCGAGAGGCTCTGCTCGAAAGCGGAGACAACGTGCGCCTAAAACAATGGAAAAACATAATTAAATACGGATTTCTTACTTATTGTCGCCCCCTGAAAAGATACCATTATCATCATACAAATAGTGTCGAATTTTACAATTTGGAAATTTTGGTGATTTGAAATAATATAATGTCTCCTTGACCAGGAAACAATGGGTTGGGTAATAAAATGGCACCTCCCCAAAGCCTATGTCCTGCAGAGGACTGCTAGATGATAATGATAAATCGCTAAGTAATTTATTTTTGGTGTTAATAGATGATGTTCTATAACTGAGACCAATTTTAAGTAATATAATAGCTGTTCTATTATGGACATCATCACCTAACGATAGCATCTTCTTACCACACGCTAACACATTGTCATCGTATATTCTGAATGCATGCATTCACAAATCACTGAATTACCTATTTGTCATTCGATTTAACACAATGAATTAGAAACCGAAGCTGTCGCTTCCAATATCATGTTACATGAAGCGTAGGCGATCGGTGCCGAATAATCTATATTCATTTAGCAATATCAATACATTATTTGTAGGTAAACTAAATCTTACTCTATATACTTAACAAGTAAGTGAAACTACTTATAAATAAATATTTATTCACGGCCAAAGGAAACGAGTAATTTTACAGTAATCTTGTGCGGTCTCTTTACGGGTTACCACTAAATAACTAAGATTTCTACTCTGTTCAGTAATCAGAGATGACCACAGGCCGACACAGATCTCTACACGACACCTCGGTCACTCGCAGGGCCAGATTATGTATTCAGACCAGCGTTCCTAGCTCGATAATGATTAAGATCGTTCTCGGCTTTCCTCCAAACCGGTCGGATGTATGTTCGTGATGATAAAATAATTACTTGCGTCATGTTATGCCATCGTAAATATTGGCTATAAACATTTTATTAACTGTTAAAAGTGACTCATCGGAATAAATTGCTTTATAGGTCGGTAATGGCTGACGTGGGCGTAGCTGGACAAGGGACCCTTTGTTTGCCACGTCACAGGAGCGCACTTAGCAAAATTAAAGTAGAGGGTAACGACCCCGAACATGAACATGGGATACGTATAACGGTGTAATATAACTATAAATATTCAGTGGGAGTGGCCATTAAATATTTTAATTGAGACCGTTCCGAATGCCAATATCACTAGGTTAAAAATATATTTTCTTAATAGGGTAATTCACCTGCCGGTGAACACGCTGCTTAACCAATTAAGGTATCCAGGCGTCATTGATAGATCTTGAAGACGTCTTGCACGTGCCGGCAAATGTAGAGGCGCAATAAATTACTAGGGTCTGATGGTTCCTTAGGTTCTTTACTGGGGCACTATAATAATAGTTTAAGTATTGGACTTCAAATAAATAAGAACCTATATTATTTTATTTATGGTGTGAACCTCTGTGTGTAAACAATAAATTCTTCCATAATGGTTGATGTAATAACATTATAGCGAGAACTTGATATCGATTCAGACATAATGACTCTTAACAATATTGTATTAACATAAAAGTTACGAATGCTAGTTAAGTGTCTTCATAAACATTGAAGTTTTACGTTCAATGAGAGTTAGCTAGCCAGTAATCATTTTTAGAGAACCCTAAAAATATATTGAATTGCTGGAACAGGTGGAAGCTAATTGTTATTAACAGCTGCATATCTGCAGCCGCGCTTTAACAGCTTAATGACGCGATTAAAATAGTACATTAAATGGTCTTCTTAAAGTACAGTTCTTCTCAGTATTTTACAGGACATTACAGAACTACTGAACAAGGCCACCGGGAACTTGCATTATCATAACCGAAATGCCTTCGGTTAAGCTCCATTGATATGCAAAACAGACCCCTGTTTTGTAATGTAACTGAATATGACCTATGATCAAGCAATAATTCGGTAAATTAGTGGTCCCTATACAGACACAATAGCGTTGAACACAAACGACAATTTGCACCAATTGAATGCAGTTAGAGCGACGAGTTGTTTCCGACTTTCGTTGTAATTATTCTATGGGATACTACCAGACGCATGCAAATTAACGAACAAACATGTTTTGTTAACTGCATGCTAACAATTCAGCACGGACGCAAATAAAATAATTAATGTTCTAAAATTGCTGTTCACAGGAACTGAAAATTTTATGTAACACTATAACAAACACGCATGAGAGTTATGCGTTTGCATACCTATACCTTATGTAAACAGTAAACATCGGTGTATATTGAAAAGTAGTACCTATTCGACTCGTAATTTGGCAAAACATGACACAGCATTGATAAAAACATGATATCGTAGGTGTAGCACGTTAAAATCCCAAACCCACTCCGCGTCCCACTGCGGTATTTTACGAGAGATTGTTACAATATTCTCAACAAGAGAGATTATTTGTTCAAGTGCACTCTTCCTTATTCGGCCGCAGCGTATCTGGGCTGCACGTCTACGGTCAATTTATGACGACGCCCATCTAAAATACGACCAACTAGCTGTCAAAAATTACTTATTAGGGCCCTAAATTCTTCGCTTTTGTTTGGCATAGATTGAGTTGCATAAGTTCTTTTTAATGTGCTTATAAAACGCTTTATTTATAACATTGTAGAGAAAAGTTACTGTTATTGACACAATACGGGACACCAAAAACGGAATAATAATATTATTAATACAGATCATATTTCAAATTAAGTTCTATTGACTATTGTGGTTTCAACAATGCAGCCGGTAGCAGAAACCTGCTAGGAACAAAGCCAGCATAAACAAGCCCTGCAAGAAATGAGGCGGCTGCGTTAAGAAAGTATGCCGTGGTCAGCTTGCCCCCAGTCAGACATCGCGTCGCGGTAACTACGCGAGATCCTATCAAACGTTCAATGCCTTCGGAGAAAACACAAAACTTCGAATCAATAATGCTAATAAGCCGAACGGTGAAGATGAACGCCGAAAGATTTCAAATTAACAAATATCCAAAGCTTTCACAATAGTATTTTCTCTATCTCCCGCATCTTTAGTTGGATAATTTGCATTAAAATGCGCAACAGAATTGATATTGAAATTTCAATGCATTTTATCTGTTCATGTCGTTTGCCAGCGATTGCTCAAGTTCAAAGGTGTCCCCTGCGGCCACAACAATGGGTACGTCTGTGGAGAGGTCTACTACCGGCGGGAATACAATAATAATACATGATACTACGACAGTGATATTATCAAGAGGATTGCAAAGCAAACTTAATACAAAGTCAATCTGATATAACCTTAACAAATACAGACAATAAATTACCTACTTAGATATTACACTCTAATGTTACATAGACTAAACAGCTGTATAAACTTGTCCTAATTTGCTACTTAATACATTTTGTTTTAAACATTTTTATTAATGAAATGGATGTCGACACTGTTCTACTTGTTATTCGATTCTAATGAGTTCAGTTAGTTTTATCATCGTGGGAAACAACGTTTCAAAGTGGTAAAATCTCTGAATGGGATAGACGGGTCGACGATTAAGTCAACACCTGACCATCCGCACCATTATCAGGTACCATCGTTTTGGTAGCCAGGTAAATATTTTTTGTGCACTATAAAAACTTCTTATAGAAATACATTTGTTAAGATTGCGTTCGATTTAATGCACCGTGATAGTGATTAATATATTTCTAATACACTACATTATGTAACGCTATTAGAAAGTGATACTTACTGGTGATACGTCATTTAAATGGTAAGATTTTACGAATCATTTTGAATCATACAGTCTCTACGATTTTATAAATATACCAACTCAAAATCAGGTGAACAGGCTCGTGTCTTAAAATGGATTTTCAGTTGTTTAGTCGATAGCGTCCCTCCGCAACATACGAAATAACATTTCCTGCTTAGGAGGAGTTAAGGGAGTTTTCATGGCACACCCCATGCACGGCCCGTCAGGTGAATAATGCACACGCCATGTACCTAATTAATATTCTCCCCTCGGCGATGTTACGATTTTACATTATACTTTCATTGCAATCCATTATACAATTAGACATTTCACGAGGGACTAACTAAACCACACCTCAATGAAAACATGACCATTGAAAGTGATTCATTAGAAGCTTTCTCTGCTGACTAAAAAACATATAAGTAGATATTTGTTACGATAATCATAAAATAGTAAATAGTAAAACTTACCTCTTCTAATATTGGACAGCTCTTATACCGTGATTTCTTAATGGCTAATTCCCACCAAGGAATTGGAGGCTTTGCTCTTAGTATAGTTTGGCATCCGATCTTTGGATCTTGCGATTCATACAAAGTACCTAAGGTTCGAGAAGAAGGCCGAGACAATAAATGTTCTTCATCATCTGCGGGTATTCCGGTTACACACTCGCAACATTTATGAGGCCTTTTCTGAATATTCTGTGGTCTGTAGTCAGCACTGAATGAATGTCTGTAGTTAAGTCGTTTCGAGAAACCGTTTGTTTCGCTCACAGATCTTTTAAAGCCATTTCTATTATTTTGCAGAGCCATTCTCGGTATTTGCTGCACTTCGCTAATAATAGTTTCATCGTTCAAAAGTGTAATATCCCCAGTAAGAGGCGTGTTGGGTTCCGAGTGATACCCCATCTTGTTTCGTTGTAAGCTTCGATATAACGAAAGCTCATTGTTATTTGGTGGCTTCAAATCTATAAACTTGGGCCTCCGCAAGTTGAGCGTGGCAAATTTTTGAGGTGATTTGTGGAATTTAGATTTGTTGGGCAAGTCTCTGAGTACATCCTCTGTGTCTGTCGATGGTATCGTGGAATTGTCGCTGTAACTTGATATAGGCCTGTCGTTATCGGTGAGGTACGAGGAAGACTCCGAGCAATTATCTCGGTCGCTATGGCTTCTTCTGTAGTCAACGGTGGAATGCTGTTCCGCTCCATCCTGATTGACTACGTGATGCTCATACGACAGTCTGTCGCCGTTAGTCAAGTTCGCGGTGCCAAATTTTTCTCCAGTCCTAGCGTCCTGTTCGCCCAAGTCTAAGC